ATTTGCTCCTCTTCTTCAATTGCCTAAAGAAACTTGGATAAAAAAGGCCCACCACATCCAAGGAAGAGTTTCACTTGCAGCCAAAAAGAGAAGAGAACCAAGTCCAAAATCCAAATAAAAGACACAAATGGATAGGGTATTAATAAGTGTGTAAGTGTCTTACCATACCCTAAGCAAGCAAAGGCTAAAAACATGGGGAGAGATGCACCAATTTGTTCTTCTTTGCAGCACATCCAAGGTGTTGATCAAGGTTCAAAGTATCAATACACCTCTGTGTATCGGTATTAAAAACCTTGCGCTTTTTTATTTTTTTTTGCTTTTTCTCAAAAATTAGTTTATATATATATATATATTATTAAAAAAAGAGGGGTCCTGAAACACCTATAAACCAAAAGATACGATATGATATGCTCAATACGAGGTATCATATTGAAATTTTGATCCTTGGTGTTGATGTTTTGGAGTATCATCTCCTGGCAAAAAGCCCTTACTTTTGGAGGCACAAGGCTACACCAATCCTCCTTTGTTGGAAACATAAAGAGATATAGTTTCTCCTCTACACTGCCAACCTCTTATTACAACTCTCTATAATTGGGCCCCAAAATATACTCTCTTGTGGGTTGTCTCCTAAATGCATACCTAGGTATTTCAAACCACTCAACTCTTCTCAAATTAATTTTCAACTTCAAGAGAGATCCAAACAACTTAACTACCCACTTCAGGTTTCTAGCCATTTGGGATCCTCACTTTCACAAAAAATGATTGTATGATCTACAAACTGTAGATGTGTTGCTATTATGCCATTCCTTCCAATCCTCCACCCTCTAAAGATGTCCATCCTATCTGCTCTTGTTAACAACTTACTAAATGCATCCGCTATCAAGGTAACTAAGAAAAGGTGAGAGAGGACAATGTTTTAAAAGGACAAGGCACAAAAAAAAAAAAAAAAAAACGCAAGGGGCAATTTGCACCTGAGGCACAAGGTGAGGTGCATGCCTTTTCGAAGCAAGGCACAAAAATACAAAAAATGCCAAAAAATTCAAAAATAAAAAATAAAATATTAAACATAATATTAATTAAAAATATAAACTTAATTTTAAAATATATGTTTTAAAATCCTATTATCTAAAATTAAAATACATAAATATTACATGTAAAATGTATTTAAATGAAAATTTAAAAATAAAATCAAACATATAAAACATATTCAAGCATGTAAGCTCTCAATGTCTTTTTTTCCTCAATTGCATTACTTCAAATAGCTAATGTGATGTAAAGAATCTTGTGTTCTTGGTTCTACAAGCCACCTTTGTACCAAGCCCCTCAAGGCAATACCAAGCCCCTCAAGGCAAGCCCGAACAAGTCCATATTAGGATCTTAAATTTTTAATCCCTACACGACAAAATGATTTTATAATTTTAGTTGCTTTTTAAGAAGATATTTTATTAGGCAATATTTTAATTGCCTTGATGCCTTACACGCAAATCCTTTCTTCTTCCTTCTTTTTAAATCTTCCATGGCAACCAGTATTTGATTGGCAATCTATCTACCTTGAATGAAGGCCCAATGGAACTAGCAAATCAAATTAGGGAGGGCCCATAGATATTAGTTAATACCCAAGTAAACCCATCCCTGCATTCTTAAATTTCAGAGAAATCGAGAACTGGCCAATTAATTCTACAAATTCCACAACCTCACTTCTCCACATAGTGACGATTCCCCCTGAGGCACACCACGATAGTGCTGCAGTCCAGCATATACCTCTAGAGCTTCACACACTTCTTACCCACCTACTGTGACTCTGTGAGTACTGCCCATATCTGTAAGTTTAGCTTCCTGCAAGCACACTATGGCTGCATTTGGCATTCCTTATTCTAAGGACTTATCTCCTTTTTGCAGTTAAAATGCCCCTATGAACACTGAGTTTTTAACAGCAAAAAGGAGATAAGTCCTTAAAACAAGGAATGCCAAATGCAGCCTATATCTGGTTTCTCCCTTTTCAACAAATCCTTAATTACCTTCCTCTTCCCTCTTCTTTGCACTACCCAGGTCCGAAACTCCCTATTTTGACCCCTTTCTTCTTTCCCCCCTCCAACTAAATTCTAAATCACCATCCACATCTGATTTCAGCCTCTCCACCTTTGATATCATTTTCTTCCTTTTTTAATTCCCCACCCCTTCCTTCCTTGACTCTTACATTTTTTTTTTTGATTGGAAATGGTAACTTCATTAAATAACTTTCCAGATTTAATTACAGCGGTCAACCCCTAAATAGACTCTTACATTCTCCATCTTCAAATTCAACCCCATCTTCCCAGCCACTTCAGCTACTTCTTGTTCAGTTATATTTTCATTCACAATTTTTATATACCCTTCCTTTCTTTTAAGCTCCTCTAAAAAATTACCGATCAACTTCCAAATCCTCTCCCCTTGTTCCCTATCCTAACCCCCCCCCCATCCCCTTCCCTTCTAACCCCATCCTCTCACCCACTCAGTATCTGTCATAGGTACAGAAAGGTCATTAGTATCCAAAATCTGAAAGAAACACGTACCTAGAGAGTTGGATCCAGTCTAAAAGTTGGGAACTCTAGGACCTAGAGTGGAAGTATGGAACCCAACCCTAAGTCCCCATTTCCCATAGGAGTTAGACCAGGCAAGGCTGCTTACAAAACACAAACACCCCTTGTTGGTGCATATCTGCTTTGGCTCATGAGGGAGTCACCTCTTTAATCCCATCATCTTGTGATTGCCTCACCTCTGAGATTGGTTTAAGTCCATAGTGATGACTTTGATCTCTAACAACAGTATTTTCTTCTTCCCTATCAATCCCCACTAAGGTCTTAAGATTCTGGAAATCTAAGTGGTATTTGCCTATCACATAAGACTCCAGATGCACCCTTCATTTTGCCAATCATCCTACTCTAATTCTATGGGTGACATCCTTCTCAATCTCTCCGTTGTTATGAATTATTGAACAAGGTACTGGAAAAGGTCACATGTTTCATTTTTTGTTTAGTTTGTCTTGTTTTCCCCTGGTTGGATCTGTATGAGGATCTTACATTCCATGTTAGTAACTCTCTCTCTCTCATTTCTTTCTTGGGGGGTAAATGTGTTGGGGAGTATAATATGATAGATCTATCTCATTGCTTTCAAAGTTTGGGGACTTATACTGTATTTGTTTTCTTATTTTTCTTTCTATAATTACCATATGGAAATTTGCAATTCTGCATTTAAAGGACTCCACACTATGGATCATCCTAAAGCATGGCCAAATCACGTTTGTCAATATTAAATAGGGTGAATTTATATTTATCAAAAAAAAAGGGTGAATTTATATTTATCTAAAAAAAAGGGTGAATTTATTGAAGTCCGTGTCAACATTTCAAAATATCTCTTTATATGCTTGTGCAATGGCTAGATATGACATTCTTTCTTTACCTTTCATGTGGTTTTGCATCAAAATTTCCTCAAATTTGATTTTGTCTCTCCCAGTTGTGTAAGAGCATGAATATTCAAACCACCGCAGACCCAGTTTAGTCCATATTGAGTCAAAACGAAGTTAACCCCGGTCAATGACCAACTCAGATCCCCAAGCAATAAATCTGAGTAAATTATAGTAGTAGCTGACAGCTAGCCACCTTAGCTGATGTGGCATAGAACATTCTAGAAACCTTTCTTTAAGAAGAAAAATATAAATAACAGATATTCCAGAATTAATAGGAGGATTCTCTCTTCTCTCAGACTCTCAGATTCTCTCTCTGAGAACACCCTCTCTATCTCCTTCCCTTACATTAGAGGAAATCAGGGGAACTATGGTGGCTTGATCCCTCTCCAAAGGGTACATAGCGCTTAGCGCAGTCCCTCCAGGGGTCTGGCCACTTCCATCCTTTTTTTATTCTGATAAGTAACAGGTCATTAAAATTCATTGAAAATCATAAAGATATGCAACGATAAAAGCATCCCACAGGGAGGTGCGAGATGCAGCCTCACTGTTAGAACAGGGGTCTGGCCACTTCCATCTTCCTTTTTTTTTGATGAATCTTCCATCTTCCTTCTTCCCCAACCCATTTCTCCTCAGACCTCCAGAGACCCAACTGTCACCGCCATCCATGGTCAGACAAGTTGTATCACTCATCGACCTCAATTTCCTTATTCTGCCATGCTCCTATAGAAACTTTATTTAAAATGGTGTATATTTAATGCACTAACATCCATGAGAACCTTGCAGATATTTATTCAAAAGGGGCCATTGCTTGGTGCGGTGTTAAAGTCTTGGGCTGAGTGGCTGACAAGCATGATAACAGTATAACATGACATCAAGTCTAAGAGCAGCCATTTTGTGCAAAATAATCCAAAGCTTAGGTCTGTATCTAGTTTACCTTTCCCAAGATCCAGAGTAGCCTGGACCATCATTGGACAATGGCCTTCTTATTTTATTTTGAACTAACATCTCAAAAGGCATGTCCCTTGAGTTTCATCATAAAGTAAATGCCTTAATTCTCAACCTTGAGGCTCACTCCTTAAGTATAAGGAATATGTATTAGAACTTTTTGAAAGCTATGCTTTTTTTGGTAACTTCTTTTTGAGCGCTTATTAGAATTAAAATTCTGTGATCTCTACGGCCTTTCGGCATAAACTCGTCACTAAATATAACCCCTTTTCAATATTTAAACAAACAAGAAGGTAAAACTTAATTGATACACTTTCTACATATGAACTTTGGTTGTATATGTAGTGGTTAAGTGATTTTTTATTCCTCTATACAAAATACATTCCTTACTTTATAATTTATCAATGCCTTTATACTTGTTCTTATTTAATTAGTGTTTTTATATAAGGGGCATGTCATGCCTTGAGGCTTTTGCCTTGCCTTGTGCCTATGTCTTTTAAATCATTCTTTTTGAACTTTCTGAATCTTGTTTTCCCATGGAATTCTGTGGATCATATGAAGTTTTTAGATGAGGTGATTATAATGTATTTATATGCTTGATATCTTGCAGTTCGGCGTGAAATCAAAATCTTGAGATTATTCATGCATCCTCATATTATACGGCTTTATGAAGTTATAGAGACACCAACAGATATTTATGTTGTGATGGAATATGTGAAATCTGGAGAATTATTTGATTATATTGTAGAAAAGGGTAGGTTACATGAGGATGAAGCTCGCAATTTTTTTCAGCAGGTAGTTATGCCTATTTCATTGCTTCTTAATATTTTACTTTTTTTGATCATTAACATGATTAATGAGCTTCATTGATGATTAAGATTGTAAAAGAATCTATTATTTCAGAAGGCCTCGTTATAGGCAGGAACTGTTTCTCTGTTTTATTTTATTCTTTACACTTGTAATTTGTAAAGTGCATGCTGTTTGTATCCTGTTGTACATAAAGGCCATTAACCAATGTACAAGATGTATCCTGATGTACATCTTGTACATTATAATTACCTGTAAAATAAGAATCTGTTATTTGAAATAAAAGTAGTTTCTTTCTATTCTCAATGTTTCCTTAAATGTCAGTTTGTGCTTTGTCTCAAACAGATAATTTCTGGTGTTGAGTACTGCCACAGAAATATGGTGGTTCATCGAGATCTTAAGCCTGAAAATTTGCTTTTAGATTCCAAATGCAATGTGAAGATTGCTGATTTTGGATTGAGCAATATCATGCGGGATGGTCATTTTCTAAAGACAAGTTGTGGAAGCCCAAACTATGCTGCTCCAGAGGTATGTAATGAATTGCATCATACTTTAAAGTTTAAAGAGTGCAAAGTGGATTTTAAGATTCTAGGTTAGGCAAACCATTGAAACTCAAGAGTTTTTTTTTTCTCTTATTGAAATTCAAGAGTTACTAGTACATATTTCTATGCAGGTTATTTCTGGTAAACTATATGCTGGGCCTGAGGTAGATGTTTGGAGCTGTGGTGTTATCCTGTATGCCCTTCTATGTGGAACCCTTCCTTTTGATGATGAAAACATTCCCAACCTATTCAAGAAAATAAAGGTATTTCCTATTAATTACCTTCTCATCCATCTAATGTGTTACTCTTGAATATCTTGGATGACATCTCCCTTTCTCATCAGGAAAAGAAATAATGAATAGAATATGCTTTGCATGGTTGCGTTGGAATGTACATATAAGTTTTTCAATAGTGGCTTCAAGGTTAGCAATAAGTAGTGGTTAACAGCCACCAGTTGACTATTTTTATGGATTCTACTATTTTTAGATGATTCAAAGATTTGGATGCTCAGATTGTTAACCTGATTAACTTGGAAGGTCTATTAATTAGAACCCATAAAGGCTACATTTAGATAGTGGAATGGAATAGAAATAGATACGGATTCCATTCTGTCTTAATCCAAAGGAGATTAATGGATAGTTATTTCTTGGTTCTCCTCAAGAAATGATGGTACCTGGATGCTAGGAAGGTGTTCATGGAGTTAGGGAAAAGAGATAGGTGCATATAAGAGCCAGAACATAAAATGAAGCCTTAATGTATTGGGGCAGATGTATGGGTTTATGTTGCAAGGTCAGCGAGATCATTGCAGGGGTTCAGCTTTTGTGTGAAGAATTTGAAATGGGATTAAGGCAGGGTTGGATCTTAAAGAAATGTTTAGAACATGACTGTTCTTAGGGGTATGGCAGGAGATGGTGTAAGTTTCTTCGGTGTTTCAAAATGTGCACCTAGGCGCAGCCCCTTTCAAAAGGCAGCACTGGGTGTGCCTTGTTCCTCGGCCCAAACGCACACCTCTTTTTGAATATGCCTTTTGTTTTTTTTTTTTAATCCATATGCCTTTTACACCTTTTTAATGGTTTATCAGCTTCTGAATTACCTTTTTATTGTTGTTTGTACACTAGTTATGGTCTATTAACTTTTAAAATAAACAAATGCAAAGCCCTTTAAATACCTAAAGCCTTAGTTCATGCAAATAGGATCTTAATGGAAAAAGTTTCCATAAAAAGTAACAAGAGTACAAGACAACTGGTATTTTATCTCTAATCCTACAATGGAATGAACTGCAATTAAAATTATAAAACCTACCCATTTATACATATCTGCCAAACATTTAGGTTGGGGGCACTGCCCCAAACCGTTGCATCATGAACTTGTTTGAGCTTGCCTGAAGGGGCCTTTCTGGAGGCGGAGGGCTTAGGACTAGGATTTAAGTATGCAAGGCACCAACATCATACTAGCTACTTGAAATAATTTTACTAGCAGATAAATAAACAAATTGAAAGTTTCACATGCTTGAATTGTTGAGTGCTTGAAGCACTTTGATATAATCCACATATGTTGACCTTCACTTCCACATTTCGCTTTGGGTATGCTTTCTATCTTACTTTATGTATTTAACTTTTCCAATAGGTTTTATAAAAATTTTAATTTGTTTTAAAATTCAGGTTCGCATTTTTCTTATGTTTTCATTTTTCATTTTATTTTTATTTTTTGTTTTTTAAATGTGCCTTGCTTCAAAAAGGCTGGTGCTTTGCCTTGGACACTATAAGGTCCTTGCACTTTTGTTTTGAAGGATCTATTTTAACTTTTAAGGGAAGGCAGTAGAGTGGGTAATTATTAGATTGGGCTAATTTTGAGTTTTTGGTACTTTTGGGGGTTTCATCATAAAATTAGTACCCTGTACTTTGAGGCTAGTCTCACTTTAGTACCCGAACTTCAAAACGTGCCACTGCAGTATCTGAATTCCCGAAAACTGCCAATTTAATACCCACCATTAGCAGTCCGTCAGTTATCTGTATCACTTGAGAGCATGTGTCAATTTTTTAAAAAATGCCAGAACTACCCTTTTTAATACTTTTGTACCATTTTTTAATATTTTTACCTTGTCTTCCCAGGCAACGAAAAGTTGTCTTATCCAACAACAATGGTATTCTAAACTCCCTTTGTTATGGATTTTCAATTCCTTCTTGCTCCATTACCGGTGGAGAACTCGTCTTCTCTGGAAACAACAGTCTAATTCCCAACCCACTGTCTCATATCCTCTGCCTGACGCCTCTATAGTAATAGTGCGAGTTCTCAGGTCCTCCTTTGCCTCATACAACCTTTCCTTGAGCCTTTGGCAGGGGCTTTCTGATTTCTTTTGCTCCATCACTAGCGGAGAACTCATCTTTCTCCGGCGATGACAGTCTAAATCCTGACCCACTTTCCCCATGTCTGCTGCCTGATGCCTCTGTAGTTACAGCATGGGTTCTCTGGTCCTCCTTTGCTTCTCATACAACCTTTCTTGAGCCTTTGGCAGGGCCTTTTGAATTTATTTTTTCCCCATCATCAGCGGTATTAAGTTTTTTGTTGAACTCTTTCCACTTGGCGAGTCTCTCTGCTATGGAATCACATCCTTTCCATCTGCCTTGCAATTTTTTCTTCCTTTAATGATTCAGGGATGGGACAAGAAGCTGAGTTAATACTAGTTTACAAACAACCATAATCCAATGCAATTGTTCGACATCCAGGAGAACAAGAAAGTAATCTAAAGAGCCTGGATTACGTGACTCTGCTTTCTAAGTCGTTACATCAATCAAAAGCAGAATTAATAAAGCAATGGATAAAAGAAGAAGAAGCGGTCACCTTTGTTGGAGGGTGAGAGGGTGAGGAACTAAGATGGGAGGGAAAATGGAGGGGATGGAGTTCGTGCAGGCAGGTCAGTGGAGGAGATCCTTGAAGATAGAAGCAAAAAATCTCCTGTTCGAAGAGATGAGAATTAAGGGGAAGGTAAG